ACAACAATGACTTTTTATTTGATTTTGATAGAATTCCTAACAGAACCGATTAACTCATGATACGGCTGTAGGAATGCTCCGAGTGACTCAATGGAGAACAATTCCAAGAGTTACACATCCTAAAACGGGGCTTAAACGGGTCTGACATTAGCTATTCATTGTAGGAGAAGTAATGTTGATCAATGTTGCCTTACTGATAAGTCGAGATGTAATGAGAGGCGATGCTAATGTTTGCTAAGATCACAAATCACGCAAGAAGGTCACATTTAGATAGCTGAGAGGACGTGCACTACAGTAAGCAAAGAGACGTGCAATTTTTTAATGGAAATGTTTTCATTGTTGATGTTTGAGAGAAGGTTACTTCGATGGCGATAATCAAGTGCAAAAAATTCTCAGATTGATAGCGCTTCAAATAATTTGTCTTTGCATCATTTATTTTCGCTGTGCATTCAACTTTTACAGTACAAAAAGTGACTGTAATCGTGACAACTGATCACGTTAAGCATCCAAATTGTTCAGCTGATCTTAAAATATTCAATCCGATTCATTGTTTCCATATATTGCTTTTATTCATTCGTTTGTGCGACGACCCAATGAATTGATTGAATTTCATTTTGATGCCGTTCGTGAAATTTGCAGCAGTAAACAAAAATATCATTAACCAAAACATAGAACGGAACATTTTCTACCAACAAAAAATGTGTTGGCATCAAGCACAGCTTCTCAACTCAATAAGGTCTGAGTCCTGGATCGCATGGTGAAAAGCGGTCGACTAGAGTGGGTAATCCAATAACCATTGAGCTAAAAAGCTCCTGGTTTCAATATCAACTGGATGCTTTGCTAAAATCTGTCGATAATTCTATCGAATCACATGTGGAATGCTCAAATAAGATTACATTCACAATCAGAATTGTTTACTTGGAAGCGCATCTGCTTAATTTTTATCAAAAATCTTATCAAACATTTTTTATCAACAAAAATGCTACATAACTTAAACTCAGCAATGCATTGAACCATGGATAATCGAAACCGATAAGTATTATCTTTTAGGAAAACAAACAAAAATATTTAACACTCTGTCACAAGGCATTTTTAAGCCATAATTGAACAGTAATGAAAGAATTTGAACCGAAATTTGAACCGATGCATCGATCGAACGAAGTGATCAAAAATTTCGAAAAATTATCAAATCATCGAAAAAATGTTTTAAAGATACAAAAATGAATTCCGAAAACTTGGAAATCAGCACTCCGAAAATCAGCAGTTCGTTCATAATATTAAGTATCATTTGTTCACCGAAAGTATAATGACATATTTAATGATGTTGCGCTCACCGAAATTTCCTTTCAATATGTCGGAGATTAAAAATAACTGCCTCTTTAATCGGATATCATCAAGATTATCCTCCGATGTGGATTAAGGCTCATTACGCCACTACTCTGTGAATCTTTTCTGTTCCATAGATTTTCATTTTTCATTCCTAGTGTAAGTTTGTGTGTTTAGTGCGAAAATGACATGTTCAGAGTTAGAGTAAACATTTGAGAGTGTGAAAATTTATTCAGTGCTATTTATTCTGTCCCAACTTTGCAATACCCTTCCACTTTTCGAATCAAATCCTTCGGTTTTTCCAATAAGCATTTCATAATGACATTCACAATTTGTTCTCCTCTCCACCCGTTGCACATAATCGCGCCGCTAAGATGTGCCGATATCTGCTTGATAAATTCACTGCGCGGTTTTCATCAGGGCATACAGAAACGTTTTTGCATGAGTACATCTACTTTCATTCCGAGAGCAACACCAAAAAAACATCTCAATTCATGATTATATCAGGTTGTGTGGAGAGAGATTCGCAAGTGATCGCAAGCGGTCGATTTTATGCGGTAATCGTGATTTTGAACGCGTCAAAAAACATGCACGAATACAGGAAATTGAAACTGATATTTGGATATTTGAAACTAATATTGAGATTGGGAATTCTGAACGGGAAAAGGAACACATGAAAAGAAGGAAATCAAAATGAACAATAATGCATTCATGAATCCGAGAAGGTTGCTGTGAGGGCCAGTCAAGCGTTGAATTGATGAAGGCTGGAAAATGGAAGATTTATAATAGTTCGATAGGAGAACTTTTTTTTTGGCTCATTAATATTCAATATTGCGATGAATTGTTTATGATCATCTGTTTCATGACAAACACGAGTGCCGAGTGTTCGTCACGTCGATCTCATCATCGAAATGTTCGTCTCGATTTGCAATCAGACAAAATAAGCGAATTGTGTTCGATCTGTGTACAATCACCCGGTCACCCGGTTCAAAATCACCTGTAGAAATCAGGTGAAAAATTGTCTGAACTCGCATTTCGCTAACGAAATACTTCCCGTCACATGTTTGCGTTCTTTATTGAAACCGACGAACACCAAAAAACATCTCAATTCATGATTATATCAGGTTGCTGCTATGTCCTGAGCAAATAAGCGTCTCTTCGATCTGTATATCTGTGAATTAATTGGCGTAAGCGCTCATTTTTCAAGAAACTACAATCTCCTTTGTGAACATAGTGCATCGTTGATTTTACAATGACGTGCAGTTTCTGAATCAAAGTATTTGATAAGTGAAAATCGTGTAGTTTCTATGCGAACAGCGAAATTCATTAGGATTGTGTAATGGGACCACACAACACTGAAAATGTTTCACTCTTGATGTCGTTATCAAGGTGGTTATTGACTTGAACTAGTGATATTCACATTATGATTGCGTTTGATGGAGGAGCAATTTATAGCTGCATACGCTGATATCACTGTACTTATTTCCAATAAATGTTATCGTGATAAATTTGAACGTCAAGATAGAATTTCTTTGCTCAACAAAACCATGAATAAAGATCATAATTTTAGTGATTCATCAGTTCCGCCTTTCAAGTGTCTTCCACATAAAACATTATGCGTTATCAGAACTAAAATATACTACAGTTCACTCACCATATTCTCATTTTACTTTCAACAACAACAGCAATATAAATAGTTCGTTTGCTTTTCATTGAAATTTAGTGATGTGCATGGAAAATATTCAATATAACATGGGCTGCCCAAGTTCGTCGCTCTTTATTATCCAGATATTGGCATGCATTAAAACATTTAGGCATTAATCGCAGACTAATAAAGCAACTAATAAAGATTTGATCAAACAATGCGACTCTTTTCAATTTACCGCCGCCTTCCTTCATTAAATCAGCACAAAGTTCCAATAAGTTTGCGCCAAGTGATCAACGCCGATCTGCAGTATGGAATGAAAACTTTCACAGATACATAAAGAGAAAAACGAAGCTCAATAGAATAATCATTTATTCGAAAACTCCGAAAAGTGATAAAAACAAATCATGTGATGCCTGGCTGATCACAGAATTGGAGGTATATTCCTTGGAAGTTGAATTTGTTGTATGTGTATGTTGATGGAGTGCATTATATTTGAGTCTGACTCATTTCTTCACCTTATATTCATCAAACCCATCGTAATGGACACCAAAACTGAAACAAATTCATCATACGAGACTCTACCATCGAAATGCAAACTTACTGACGATTTAAAATGAAGCGAATGCTTCAGTGATGTCAATTTTCAATATTGTCGTATTGAGTATCAAAATATTAAAAGTTCCTTTGAATTGATTGTGAGCTACTGTATTTCAGGATGTATGGCTGTTCAGAAATTGCGGAAACTGTATGAGACAATCTATTTTGTCTGAAGATAGTTCAAGAAATTGACAGTACTGCATTTACAAACGAACTTCCGTGCAGTTAATGAAAATGATAGAGTAGAGCAACATGCCAAGCAGCCACTTGAACTACTTCAAAACAACTAGAGCAACTCATTCTATACGAACACAATATTCTTCATACCTTTATATTACCTCATTAATTGCAAAGGATCCCGCTGCTATTCGATACTCTATGCAAGTGTTGATGTTCCTGGAAACGAACCTGGCAGAAGTTCTGCTTTGACGTCAGTTAATGTTTCAGCTGAAGAGTTTGCAAATTCCCACATGTTCGTTTTCGCTGATCTCGTGTCTTGGCAAAGCTTAAATATACAACATGAGAGAAACCATTTGAGATATATCACTTGTTAGAAGAATTCCATTTGACATTCACATGGTATCTTGGTGTGACTTTAGTGTCGTCATCAAAAATTGCTTGAAAGTTGAAAAATGACCTTGATCGCTTCCTGATACTCAGATACACTTTCGGAAGTCTAAGACAATTGTGGTTGATTTTGATACTAGAGAAAATTTATCGTTCCACTCAAGTCAGTGCGCTCAGCCATATCAAGAGAAGTGCGCTTTCAATACATCAACGGCAATCCGAATGTGCAATTGAAGCTTCAACATACACCCAGAGAGGAAAAGGAAACCGTGGCAAATCTATGAAATGTTCGTTACCGCAGATTTGTCTGCACCCGGGTAGAACTCTTTGGCGTAGTCGCGAAAAATTGTATAGTTACACTTCTCTGCCTTGATATGCTCACATCCTATAATGAGAACAGCTGGTAGCTAGCTGAATATAACTGATAATCAAGTGGTTCTTAGGCGAAGAACCTGGTGAATATATAATTCTGATCTGTCACTGATCACACAGAGGATCAACTAGTGTAACAAAAGATAGCATCGATCATAAGAAAGAAACTTCATTCAACTGGATAACGTACACGAGATAATTACAGTAAGATTTGAATAACAACTCTAATTATGACTTCTTATAAGCATTCGGCTTAAAATTTTCGCTTTCATCTATTCGTTCCACTTTGAAATCAGATGCATTTGATTGAAATATCACAGATTCTGGTATGGAAAATTCTCAAAGCTCAAGTGATGAAAAGAAGGCGATTGCATAGGATAGCCAAGAGAACATTGCAAAAACAAACCATTTATTGTCGTGGTGGCCACTCTGAATTGAGCTGTGGAATTCTTAAGATAGAGCACCTAAAATTCGTTCAAATTATCAGGCATTATTCTTTAACGGTGCTGTATGTAATCCGAATCGCTGGATTCAATGGATACTGATAGCCAGAGCCGCCTGCATATTGCTGTAGAAACGAAATTGCATCTAATCTTAGCAGTTATTTAAAAGTGATCCAAATTCTGTTGCCATACAAACGACATTTTCGCTCGCAAATGCCCCATAAAATATACAAGTCTCTCCTATTTCCTATTTCGAGTGATCAGAGGCGGTATTTATCATTCATTGAATATCACAAAATTATCCCCCCTCAGAAATTACCCAGAGAAGCGCCCCTGAGGTGACTGGTCACTGCTAACCGGTCTTAGTGTCAAATGAATTCATAACTTACTCGTAACACTGGACCATTGTCGGTTTGCCATAGCTCAAATGACAGACATGCCGAATAGTCAGGATGACCATGTTGCAGCAGTGTATGTTTTACACCAAGCGTTGACATCAGCGCCAACAGTGTAGTGTCATGCTGAAAGGTATTCGCTTGAAAACGGCCATTGTGCGTAGAATAACACTCTGAGTACACATTCTGATGATAAGCTCAATGTTCTAATTAGAGTGACAATCATGTCATTGATCAGGGATAGACAACGTTAACCGAAAACTCGAAAACATCTATTCAGCCTAACTGTTGAGCGAAGTAAACGCACTGATGTCAGTCATCAAAAGGAATTATTGATGTGGAACTATTACCGCCCTAATCACTCACTTCCTTCAAAATATATCTGTCATGGTGGAATGGACAACCCCATCTCAATACTCTAATGCGATTTTATGAGTGAGATGATTGTCATTCCACAATACTGACTATTATCCACCAGCGATGAAAACTACAAAATTTGGAGGAAAGTGTCTATCGCACGCTTTTTTAATGCATTTTAAAGATTACCAGGCAACTTGCAGCCATATGTGAAATCATAAAACATCAAATTTTCGATTATTCAAACCTATTAGCTGATAGATTCGTGTGCAAACAGAATATCTTTAAGCTCGAATTAGAGATCGAGCTGACCACTTAAAAATGTAGAGTAGTGAAAAGATCAATGTGAGATCAATTGACAATCCCACGAACCGACAATCCCTTGCTGGATCGAACTCACCGCGGAATATGCGTAGTATCGCAGATGCTTCATCCAGTTGCATTGCGGTTTGTCTTGATTGGCTTGCTCGTAGCAGAACAGCTGAAATTTTCACATATGCAAATTGCAGAAACATTTTAAAGAACAACATAACACTATATTCTTATCGCATCTCGAAACCTTTCGACCGAAGTCAACGATAAACAGATTTATGAGAACCAATTGAGTATCAAAATTACGATTTAAGACCTTCAAATCGAAGTTATCGATGATTGCCCACAGAATGCTTCCACCTCGAACCTTTGCAACTTCCACTCGAAAATTGATATTGTCCACTGGTGTTAGATCTGAAACCTTATCTGCTTCTTAAGTCCATTTATCTGACTGACATGAAATTAGTTGAGTAGATAAGGGAAAATCTTTGAAAAGGCATGAGGTACACAAGGGATGTCAACATGGGATCGGCTGTCTCACCAAGACCATTTCCATAGTCTACCAATAGATCCATGATTTCATCAATTCGTTGATATGCCGTTTCATCAATTATTCGCTGTGTTTTATTGTACAATCTCTAAAATCACGAAATTAGTTTCGTGCACATTATCGGCATGATTATTTATGTCATTATCAGCGTAGTTATTATTAATAGCATATGTCTTGCTTAATTGTTTGATTATATCACAACCACCATCATAATACATGCTAATATCGTTACAGAAAATTGCTCTCTGTGACCGAGCCATAGATTAAGTCGTTTGAGCAATTGTGCGAGTAAAAAGTTAGAATATCTCTCAGCAATGCTCTATTTTCAAGAGTGTTGTCAATGAAATTTTATATGGGGTAACAGTTTTAAAAATGATTACAATGTGTCCAAATGACTACTGAAAAGCGAACATTTGGATGGCAAGTTAAGGTTGCAAAAGAAGAAAACGAAGACAGAAAAGCATCGGAAATGAACACTGACCTCAATATAAAGCGTGTCACGAAGATACCAAAACCTATCCAGTGTTATATTGTCACCTGTGACAGTGGTAAGTTCTTTCATGAATCGCTGAAAAATTACAGACGCTCAATGTAAAAATACTATCTTGAGCATTTATTCAAGCGGATTCCAAATGTTCACATCAGCATGAAAGCAGTTTCAGCGATTGTGAGAGATATGCGCATTTTCGATGAGGGATTTCGGATTGCTTGAGTTGTGACGGCGATCACATGAATTTGCTAACTCTTTTTTTGAGATAAATAGTAATTAAGGTATGACATACGAACATCATTTTCTTTCTCCAGCTTTCTGAATTCAGGAGTCTCTTTTGTTTTGCTCCATAGCCATTCACGGCGGGGACAGTAAGCTCTCGGATTGCCAACCTGAAACTTCATCGAGTTATAGATTTTGGAGATCAGTAAGGCATAGTTCAGATCACATACACACACTCGGTATGACTGATTATTGCGGAACAAATGCTTCAAATGAAAAAAAAAAAATGCAATCAACTGAGCCTGTTACTCACATAATCGTGAGCATAATCAACAGTTGCATGTACCGGAAAAGGTACAAATAAACCGGGCCATCTGGGATTGCTTGGGAAGTTAACATTGGGAATAGACTGTGTGCGATTGTAGTACATGCCGATTAAGTTCGAATATGCGCTGATATAGGTTCGATTCACGTCTGTTGTTCGGACGTACATCTGAAATTTAGTGATATTGACGGCGATTCGATCAATTTTGAGATGAAGTGAGAATTGAGATGGAAGTTCAGTTGAGGTCCACGTCAAATGGAGACTGATTGAGATGTTGGAGAATTTCTGAGGAACAAATCCTATTTCCCTATGATTTTTCACTGCAGAGCTGCTCTGCTGTTGTAAATAATGACCAACCTCATTGAATTTATACGATGTGTTCAGAAATTTATTCTTCACGACGTACTCTTTGTATAGAAGGTCACCAAGCTCCATCATTTGCTCCATGCCTATCTGAATGAGACAATTCTCAGAGAGTTGGCTGCTTTCAAGTAGCATTTATGAATTTCATCGTACTTTAAAATAGGCATTTCATCAATCTTTTAGCTGTATTTCAGTTTTTTCTAAGAAATGAAGAAAAAATTTTTTGATGCCTTTTCGAACGTTCATTTCTGAGTAACTTCATGAAGTTAAAAGCTTGTGATCAGTTCAGTGTAATGCTCACTGGAGTCAGCTGTCCCCAGCCAAGTGGCCAAGCATCCTCTTGATAAGGATCAGACTTGAAAGTTTTTGCGGGCGTTCGATCGCCATGTCGCCAAATCTGAAAATTCTTTTCACCAACTGACGTTACCTCTTTGCTCTCATACCACTTCTACATCAATAATCACCTTCAGTTCTTATGAATACATCAGAATTTTTTTGGTATTGTTCAACATACTTAAGATTTTCTCCGTCCTATGTTAAAAAACGTCGGAATACCGGAATCCTATGAATAATGAGCAACTATGTCCGTTGCTGCACCTCATTCCATCAGATGAATAATTGCGGCACCTCGAAATCGTGGCACCTCCTTTTAAGTTTAAGATTTTCTACAATGAGGAAAATTCTCAATTCCAGCTCGCTTCAATCGATCATGAATATGATGCTGATTGAACACAGTTCATGAGCATTCTATATAAATGATCTCCGTCGATCAATTATTCATCAAACTGTTAGGATTATTGAATATGGCGATGAGGCAATCTCATCATGACAGTGATGTATACTATGTCTTGATTCTCACAGCGAACTTTATCATATCTCCTGTCTAAACGTCTGAACTTACCACTTGCACCATAATCAGTTTGTCAGC